TCTCTTCTCTTCTCTTCTCTTCTCTTCTCTTCTCTTCTCTTCTCTTCCTATCATATTCCCTATTCCCTATTCTATTCTATTTTCTATTCTATTCTATTCTCATTTCTTTCCTTTCCTTTCTCAGCATAGCTGGCTGAGGAATTCTGGGCAACTCCACAAGTTTTAAAGTTGCCAAGTTAGGAGACCTCTGATCTAATACACACACACACACACACACACACACACACACACACACACACACCAACTAGAACTATATGTTTTCCCCTGATACATAACAACCTTTCCCACAATATCTCCTGCTATCAAGAGATGTCCTGAGTTAGGCTTATGGAAATAGGGGAAGGCAGTTAGACAAAGATGCGTCATTATACACCACCAATCCCCCCAAATGGCTCCTTTCTCCCTTAACGATCTCCCCGTTGCAACCGAATCGAGTGTGTCGTCGATGTGGGCTGGAAGCTACATAAACCCCTGAATGTCACTTGGGACCTATACGGCACATGGCTGACTTTTGACTCACAGGCTGGCGTGTCACCAGAAGCTTTCCAACTTCTTCTTCTATCGGCTGATGGTTGCTTCTCTGCCGTCGGCCGTCGGCTGATTTGCAGAGGGACAAGCCGGTGCCCACCAGGCAGCCTTGTGAATATTCTAGTAGGGGAGCAAAAAAAAGAAAAAAGAAAAAAAGTAAAGTAGGTTATCTGTCATGCACAAGCCTTCCTGTGATAAGTGGCGCCAACGTGCCAAGTTGGGCGGTGAATGCCCTTCCACTCTGCCAAACGAGCCGGCCTCGCGGCTCAGGTCCGGGGTAAGGGAGAAAGAGGGAAGGAAATCAAGTGTTTGTATCTGCCTCGGATATTAATAAGCCCACTTTGCAGAAAACGGTCCCTTCTCTGGCAGACGGAAGGCAGGAAGGGAGACGGATTCATGTTCGGAATGAGAAAGACAGGCGCAAACATTGTTATGGGAGACGCTGATGATTTTCCGATGCGCTGAGAGAACTGGGACATCATCGCTCATTCAGCTTGGGCTTCCATCTGTCACAAATGCACAGAGATGGATGTAGGTGCCTCTCGCTGTTGGCTGTTGGCTGTCCTTTATTAGGTGGGGGATTAATAGCAGCTGAAATGCCTTGGGTTTTTTTTTTCTTCCCTGTTCTGGTTTCCTTTGATGATGTGCACCGCGGGTTGTTTTAAGCAGCGGCAGCCCCTACTATGTGATGAGGGGACTGGAGGCTAAAAGAAATGAGGAACAGTTGCAGGAACTGGGCAGGGCTGGTCTAGGGAAGAGAAGGACCAGGGGAGACAGGAGAGCAGCCTTCCAATATTTGAGGGGCTGCCCCAGAGAGGAGGAAGGGGGTCAGGCTATTCTCCAAAGCACTTGAAGACCAGACAAGGAACAATGGATGGAAACTGAATAAGGAGAGATTTAACCTGGAAATAAGGAGAAACTTTCTGACAGTGAGAACAATTAATGTTTTCCCTCCAAAAGTTCTGGATGCTCCAACACTGGAGGTTTTCAAAAAGAGATTGGACAGCCACTGGTCTGAAATGGCAGAGGGTCTTCCTGCTTCAGCAGGGGGCTGGACTAGAAGACCTCCAAGGTCCCTTCCAACCCTGTTATTCTGTAAATCTTGGTCGTCTCTGAATCAAGGCGTGGTAAAATGAAATGAGCTTGGTGCAGGCAGAGGGATAACAATAGAAACGTGGGGCAAAGAAGAAGAAGAAGGACCAGGGGAGACACGAATAGCAGTGTTCCAAAATCTCAGGGGCTGCCACAAAGAAGAGGAAGGGGTCAATCTATTCTCCAGAGCACCTGAAGGGCCGACTGTCTTGCTCTCAAGGCTAAATCCAGTTCTGGAAGTCTCCCCGGTTAAGGAATACAATTCTGGCACCTCTCAGCTATTACAGCCCCATTGGGCTAGAGGGCTTCCCAACAGATTGGAGAGCTAGGTGTACCGGCCCAAACCCAAAGTCGAAGAAATCTGCGGTTCCAATAAAAGAGAATATTTATAGCCGCGGGTTGAAACGAGGGGTCTTGGCTGCTTTCTGAGCTTTGGTGGTTTTCTTGAAGACGTTTCATGACCCAACTAGGTAACATCATCAGCGCTAGAAGGTTTTGCAAACTGTCGCCGTTACTGAGATTGGTTTCCACCCATTGCATCAGAGCAGAGCTTGGAGGGACCTTGGAGGTCTTCTAGTCCAGCCCCCTGCTCAGTAGAATAGAAT